AAAACATTATCACAAAGCCTCTAGTGAGAGAAACACTCTCCAACACTTTCTTCCACAACGTACAGTTATTGCACAGACAAAAAATAAGCCATCCCCGCTTCTCTTCATTTACAATGAGTTCACACTTCCTGAGTTTTGTGCAGTCTCAAGTTTATTGTGCTAATGTCACAGGTAGGTGTCTTGTAGTAGGGACTAAACATCCTTCAAAACTCTATTAATTAAACAGAACTTCAAAAGCAAGCAAGGAACCAGCCTGGCCAAAGCCACAACCACTAAGGACTCAAAGCGATAAGTGATCACAGCTGGCAGGTGTCACACCAAACTTCCTTCTGATCTCCATCGAACGAGACAGGTCGTGGAAGAGCATGAAGCTGATGTCCGGTACAAATGGGCTAGCTGGGAATATTGCAAAAGAGATGATTGTCCCATGGAAACGTTACATTTCTTCAGTGATTTATATTTTTAAATAAAACCTTGTCTGAAACACAAGCCATGGCCCTGACTGATGTTTAAAGCAGCTAATAAGTGGGACATCGGGGAGAAATAGTATTAAATGCATCACAGTGGAGAGCACCATGCCCTGCCAGTAATAAACAAAACCCCCTGAATTCGAGCTGTGTAAGCGGGCACTTCGACAATGCAGCCCAAGCCCACGCATCATTACTGACCAGCAGATTTTATAGAGCTGAGGGTGACTGTAAGAAACTGAAAGTAAAACAAACCACAAGGCAGGTATCGTGTTCCCCTAGACAACGCAAAAGTGGGAAATGGACTGAAACACCTACCGAGAACAGGGTGGCATAGGCAGAGAGAGCAAATTTGATGCAGTAGTAATAGAAGAGGGAATCTTTCCATTTTGTTTCTTTAGTCATCTTCCCAGCATGCGCTTTCAGCTTTGCTTTGTGTACGTGTTGGACTCTCCCTGCTTTGACACAGTCTCCAAATCTCAATGCCTAGAATAAAAAAACCAAAAAAAAAAACCAAACAAAACCAGCCTTAAACTTCAGCTGCTCTGCACAACTTCCGCCTGGGAGAAACAGAAAGCAATTAAAGGGGAGGCAGCAGCACAGCAGTGTTAACCCTTTCCTATGTTGCCTGTGTAGCCTGATGCAACTAATATACATTCCATTCTCAAACGAACCGAGTGAGATTTGCTGTATGGTTTTCCGCCCCCCCCCCCGGGAATATTGATGCTCAGCAAATGGCTCCATCAGCAGACACAGGCAGCTGTCTAACCCCTACAGTACTTTCTTTTTTTAAAGCAAACAGCAGATCTGCTCGAGTAGACAAACTGCAATAGAAAATGCTTCCCTTGTCCCTTACTGCATAAATAAAATAAAACGTCATGATCATGCCACCATCTCAGGGGTGATACGCACTCTAGATTACAGGTGGTGGCAGATACTGAAGCATCAGAAAGTTAAGCAACTGCTCAGAGACAAAGAGGGAGCCAGTTGGTGGCAGAGCTGGGTACACCACCCAAATCACCCACCTTCTTTCCAGTCCTGCGGTTAGACCTTTCCGTTCTTGGTTTATAATACAAGGTGAAGGACTCGGTGATCTATGAATCAGTATGCTCCAACAAGGAAGGCACAGCATAGGGAAGTCGAGACTGAACGAACATGTTCCGGCTATGGCAACAACTTGCTGAGTGTTAAGTCACAGTTTATTTTGAGGCCAGTTGTTCCTGGTTGTGAAGGTAGGATGGCCAACTGGAACAAGAACCTGGAATGAAACAGACACTACCATACCCAAGGGGGAAATGAAGATCGAAGACCATAATGCACTCAAATTGGCGGCAGGTGGGCGGAGAACAAAAGAACCTTCATCCCAGTATTGTGAAATCACTTGTTCGTTAAGCAAGCATTTTAATAAATCAATCAAGTTAGGCATGGTGCCATATAACTGGAGAATAGCAGCCTGTAGCTACATAAAAAAAAAGGGAAGGAAAAAAAAAAGTGATCTAGGTAATTACAGGCTTGTTAGCAAGACATTAATCGTATGTAAGGTTCTACCAAAAGATCTTGAAGGAAAGGATAATTAAAGGCATAGAAGTAAATGGAAAATGGTACAAAAGCCAATGTGTATTTTTGCCCATGGCAAATTCTGCCAGATTATCTAGACAAGACAAATGTGGTAGATGTAATCTATCTGGACTTCATTTGATGCCATGCCATATAGGGAATAACCAGTTACAATGAAGATCAGGATAAGGATAAGAATTTTAAAGTTGATGAAAAAAATGGTGAAGAAGTATGACAACAGGTTTTGCTGACAGGTAAAGCATCAGGTTGAAGGGAGGGTCCTAACAGTTCTGCAAGGATCAATGTTGGGACTGCTCTTATTTCATGTTTCCATTCATGATCTGGGCCCAAAGAAGTAGAAGTGTGCTGATGAAAGTTAGCTATGATAGAAACTGCCAATACAAGAGACAACTGGAGTATCACACAGGAAGATAGGGTTTGGATAGGGATGATCCTGCCTCAAGCAGGGTGTTGGACTAGATGACCTCTGAAGGTCCCTTCCAGCCCTACTTCTCTATGACTCTAAGACCTGGACAACCTTGAAGACTCGAGTAATAGAAATGGACTGAATTTTAATAGTGCAAAGTCTAAGGGGACTAACAATAAGATTTTCTGTTATAAGCTCAGAAGTTGGAAATGGCAGAAGAGAAAAATATGTAGGAATATTAGCTTCTCACACGATAACTATGAGAAGGTCAAGAAAATTCCTTGGCCTTTAATCAGCCAAAGTATTTCCAGCAGATGTAGGAACCCATAGCGCCCCAGTATAAGGCATGGTTGACACTTCATCTGGAATACGGTATACACATCTGGTTACCGTTGTTCAAGAAAGAGGAATTCATAAGATGAACATGTGCAGAGATGAGCTGTCAGGGCATGGAAAGCCCATTTCAGCAAAAGGAAACTCAATGAGCCTGGTTTGTTTAGCCTAAAGCTAAGAGGGAACATGACTGTTTCCTGCCCAGCTATCACTCAGGATGCATGGAAAGGGAAGCTGTCTGAATCAAATGTAGAGGGGACAAGAGTCAGGCCAATGCGATGGATGGGAACAGATTGAGACAGAGTCTGGAGGAACTGGGATTAGACAGAGGGAAGTAAAGGAGAAAAGTGGGGCTAGGAGAGAGGGGAAGCAGGAACTGATTGCACACAAATATGGGAAGGAGTTAGTGTACCAGTACTGAACCATGACTGGAGGGGAAGAGAGACTAAGACACTGAACCAGTCATGGGTTGAAGAGGAGACAGATTAGCTGAGGAGCTCAAGTGATGGGATAGAGAAGTTTTGGGAAGAGAAGCTGGAGAAGCACATGGGAACCAGAGACCATGGATGGGCTGGACAAGGAGACTCAGGAGGTGACAAGAGAGAATTCGAACCAGAGACCGCACGCTCTTTTTCTACGCAGGACCCCTTTCCCTTCCCTGCCACAAGCTGGTCCTGTTCTAGGAATTAAGCAGGGTTGACTGTAAGACTCCTGGTTCATTTGTTGCAGAAGCCAGATGATGTAAAGTAAACAAGGCTGGGGGCGGAAGGGGAAAAATAAAATGGTCTTATGGTTAAGACAATTCTATGCTGCCCTGGAGAACTGGATACTATCCTGTCTTTGGGCAGAGGGTCCCCATGCTTCTGAGTCACTTAAACCAAATTTTTCAAAGGTGAGCAGTGAACAGGTGTTCCTTAATTTGGGGGTGCCTAAATTGAGACTGATTTGTAGAAGTGCTGAATACCCACAAGAGCAACAGAAAAGCAATGGGAGCTGGGTGTGACTCTCTAGAGCGTTATATTAATTCTAAGTACTCATAGACATCTCAAACTGGACGCTCAAAATTAGTAGACAGTTTAGACTGTACCTGGGCACCCTATCTGTAAAGCAGAGGTAATGTTGCTCTCCTAACCTCCAAGGAGTTTTGCATATTAATAAATGAGTGCTTCATAAATATTAATGATAGTGATGAATGCCATTGGGAAAAGAAAAATGAGGAAATTAAGAATCCTGTCTTCATAGCAGAGAATAATGTGCAAATGAAGGCTAGGGCCACACACTGTACAAAATATTGAATACCTGTTTGTTAATTGGGCATAGTCTGTTCTGTGCATTGAATAAGGCAAGAATCCTGTGGAAGAAATAATATCTTATCTTGTATTTAAGAGTTTGTTATAATGCATATTCACCAGACAGATGAATTAAGGCTTAAACAGAAAATACTAATAATGACATTTTCTGAATTTTGGGTCTGTAACATTGTTTTTTTCCCCTTGTAATATAGAACATTACCATGGGTGGAGAAACTTCCTTGTTCTTATCTATTGTCTCTTCTGTATGTGTTAGGAATGAAGATGAGAAGCCCAAATGTCACTTTATCTCAGTATCTCTTACTGGCTGCTCCATAACTCACTGTAGCAGAATGGCATTTTGGGCACCTGCTCTTCTTTATTAGAATGAGCGTTGCAGAAGTGCGTAATAATTTCATTTTCACCGGGAGCTAAGACACCAAAGACCATTGCCTACGCCCCATCAGATAATGCTACTGCAAGCTACCACAAAAATATGCCAGGTTGGATGCTAAAAATAGATCAAAGTGTAAATATGCCTCTTAATATCTTTGTTCATAACACCAAGGATCTCATAGCTGTGGAAAAACATAGCTCCAGTGATTGGTATAGATGCCAGTCTCCTAGTTATGGTTTGCTGGAAAAATAGGTTGGGTTTGAACAAGCTGAAGAAACTAGCAGACCTTTTCTCCTTAATTTTAATTACACCATCTTAGTGGACTTTGCTCAGTTTTAAGTTACATTTGCAATATGTTACCCCAGCCCTTTATTACATTTTATCTTGATTATATTTTATTATTGACATTCACTCAACTCTTTCCTCTGTAAAGCTTCCTTTCTATCAACACTTTTCTCAGTTGCCTCCATTATCCAACTTAACACATGGCTCTATTCTAAGTCATTTGGTATCAATTTTGGTAGGACTGCACAGAGCCGGTATGCCAGTGAAGTCCACACTAAGGAGAAGAATGGCAGAAGGCATGTTAACAAATACTTAAAGAGGCACCAAGTTGTCAGCCAAGTCTTTTTCCTGCTTTTCAGGCCACATACAATGGCCGTGACTGGTCACTGGAGGATTTCTTAGCATGGGGGGAATCTATACATGCACTAGTTCCACAGAACCTGATCCTTTGCCAGTCATTCTTGCCCTCCAGTGTGCCAGATGCTGATTGGGGGAGAGCAGAGCTCACCTATGCCGGCATCTCCATTGGTATAAGGTTCCTGTGGGATTTTACAGTTGTGCTATTACACAGAGCTAGTTGTGCCCTTGTGATCCCACATGCAGCATCTGCATGTGTCTCACATGACATTGCATGTTGGATCAAAAGGGCACGACTGGCTCCTCTTCTCCCTGCCCCTTTCTAGGCAGAGCACAGATGATATAGGTGAGAATTTATTCTTCTCTGTTCACTTCCTTAGATTCATCCAAGGAGCAGCGCTTATCCATATATTCTAGGTGCCTGTCATGTCTATCTGTGTGTGCATGTGCTTACATGTATCAGAATCCCCTCCATTGTAACTCCATTGAAAAGCATGGGAGACATCTTGATCTTCGTACATGCGTCTACACGTGTACTTTACTGCAGAGTAGACTAATTAGCTCTGCAGTAAAGCATCACCATCTAAATGTGCACCGGTAGTAGTGTGTAGTAAACTAATCAACTTTACCATAAGATAGGGCTGTTCCTGATAGTACTATCTTACAATAGAGTAATTTGCTGTGCTGAAACTTATGTGTAGACATTGACTGTGGGTGTGAATTGCTCCTGGTAAGCTCAGCCAGTCAGGGGTCTGCTCTGCCTTGGTTCAAATTGCTGCTGTCCCAGGCACACGTGTAGACGCTGTGCCTGGGAGCAGTTTACTCTGACTCAAACAGCTTCAGAGTTTATTGCTTTGTATTAATAGCACATGTAGATGCACTGCACAAGTATGTGGGATGCACGTCTATTA